GCACAAATTGAAAATACTTTTTCCCATAAAGATATGTGAAAAGTGTTTCTCAAATAGATCTTTAAAAAATTAAGTAAAAGAATATATCAAAATTATGTAGTTAAAAAAAATTTTAGTAAACAGACTAAAATAATATATTTTTAAAATAGAAATGAAATTATTTTAGTCTTTTTTCATATTTTTTCTTAAAATAATATAATTAATTTTTAAAATGTTTTCCTTTTAATTTTTTAAAAATCTGATTAATAAACATTAATCTTTAGAGATGTTTAGTTTAATCATTAATAACAAATTTCCGCTAATTTCTGAGATTTAAGGCTTTATTGGTTAAGAAAAAGAAATCACGTTAAGCTTATTTTTTGGTTCAATGGAATGGAGAAAATATATATATATATATATATATATTATTGATATTGAATGAAAATAAGTGAGACAAAAATTACAGAAAAGATATAATATATTGAAGAACAAGGTTCTCAATTTTTTTTTTTTTTTGAACTACACAATGGGAAATAATTCTCTCCAATCTTTTAACTCATATCACTTATATATCATATTACTTAAATTCAAAATCTCTTACTTTCAATACTTAAAGAGATTATTACTGAGTTATTTAAAATGTTAACAACTCTCAATTTTTTTTAATAAGTTAGAATAACATATGTTATAAGTTGAGGACCAAATTGTAGCATCAACATTCATATGAAATAAAACAACAAAAAAATAAAAAATAAAAAGTGTACATGTAGTCATGTATGGGACTGTAAACAAATCTTGCTAAAAAAAAAAAAAAGATTGTAAACAAGTCAAGTTGGATTCGGAATATACCTTGTACTCTAAATAAATAAACCAATTTCATTTACCGTTTAAAAAAAAGTCAAGCTGGGTGCGGTTAAAAAAAATTTATTAAGTAATTTGATAATATTTTTTCTTTATAAATAAAAGATTCTGAACTCAAATCATATAGTTAATGGATAGAGTGGGATTACAAAATAAAAAATTATAAAACCTAAACTTTGAGTCGAATTTAAATCAAGCTATTCAGCTAATAATCCTACATATGACTACGTTAATGGGCTCATTGAGAAATAAATTTCAAGAGAAAAATCATAACAAAATAAAAAATTTATACAAACACAATTTTGATGTTTCACAACAAGATATCAAAATAGCCACAACTGTATATAACTTGCATACACTTTGCCAAGTGCATAAATTAATGCATTTGTTTAATAAACATGTATTTAACATCATCAGGGTTGGATGCATGATGAAAGCTATACATGCAAGGTTATTCACATAGACAAATATATCAACTTCTAATAATAAAAATGAAAAGGAAATAAAAGTCCAAACGTCTACTATCCCGAAACTTGTTCACACAGAAATTAAAATATTAATCCCTAGTTTCGCCAAAACCCTATCTCCTCCCTCTTCCTCCTCCTCATCCTCCTCTTTCCAATCTCATAATACTGAAAAGCTTTGTCCTTTGTATTCTCTTCGCCATTTTCTTGGACTTGACCACATAAATACTTGAATCCCCATATCAAATGCAACAAGTTTAGCCTAAAAACTACTGATGAGCTTTCTTTTGCATGATATATAAGAAGAAAAGGAGAGTATCCAGACTGGTAAGGTGGATCGGAGACATGGGAAGAGGCCCCTTCCATCCGATGAACCGGAGAAGAAAGAGGAAGATCATATCTTTCCCATCTACTCAGCTCAGTCACAGCAAGACATGTCTGTAATGGTTGCAGCCCTAACCCAAGTCATAGGAAATAGCAGCAATAATAACCCTCTTCAACTGGATGAGAATCAATTATCGTTGTCCAGTAACTCAGAACAACACCAATCTCAACCATCTCAAGATCAAGGTATAAACTTCCATACACTGGGAATTAGGAAAGTGTTTTCTTTTTTTTCTTTTTTTTTTTTTTGCCCTCATTTTCTCTTGTTTTTTTCTTTTTTCTTAAGCCTAGTGTTTTCCATTTGATGATAATACTAATTAATGAGATCTACAACAATTTACAAGATATATTTTTCTGTTGAGCATGAGGTTTTTAGTCTTTTTTTGGCACTAGTTCCCACCCTCTTTTTCCATTTATCTTTTGTTCATTTTTCAAGATTATTTTTCCCGATTCTCGATCTCCATTTTGTCTTCTTTTTTCACCCTAGCTAGATAATATATATGTAATCTCTATTTTGTTTTCTTTTTCACCCTAGCTAGATCATATATGTAATCTCCATTTTCTCATTATTATGCAATTCAAGTCTCTTTTCAAAGAAGCGACGTAAGTTTGAGTGATATTTTATATATATGTTCAATTTGGAAGGGAATGTGAGGAGAAGAAACTATAGAGGAGTGAGGCAAAGACCGTGGGGAAAATGGGCTGCTGAGATACGGGACCCGCAGAAGGCAGCCAGAGTGTGGCTTGGGACTTTTGACACGGCGGAGGCAGCCGCATTAGCCTATGATGAAGCAGCCCTTGGGTTTAAAGGAAGCAAAGCCAAACTTAACTTTCCAGAAAGAGTTCAACTAGGAAGAATAGATTATAATCAGTTGAGTACTAATTACCTCACCAACCGTCGTCAAGGGGTGCATCGGCAGCCACGGTTTGTACCGCCTCCTCCTCCACCGCAGCAAATTACATACCCTAATACTTCTCATCAGTACATGCAGTTTCTTCAAAGAGGAGCAAACTATGGTTTTCCAGGTATCTATGAAACAGAACCATTTGGTTTGCAGAGTTCCTCCTCATCTTCATCTTCTTTGTCTTCATCTGAACAACAGGAGGGTCAGATTGTGAGCTTCTCGGTGCAGTCTTCGGGTTCTTCTTCGAGTTCAGATCCTCCTCATGGCACTAGGAGAGGCTACGATAATAATTATGATCCTCGCTCATCAAATAAATAGTCCAGGTTTGTTTTTCTGGGAGCATGCAATGTGTCAGATTGTCTTAAGGTTCCTGTTTTTCTGCTTCGAAATTTCTTTATGTTTTTGGGATTTTGAGAATTGTTTGCTGTGATGTAATTAAATTAATGATCGTGTCCTATAATGTTAAGAAGCGTTTTTTTTTTAAGAAGTATATATTATTTAAGTAAAAGCTTTGTTGAATCATAAATAAATACATATAAAAATAGAGAAATTTTCTTAAAATTTTAAAATTAATAAAAATGATTAAGGATTAAATCTAAAAGCTTAACAGCATAGTGTAAGTTTACTCTAGAAATTAATACAAGTTTGGCGCTTAAGCTTCTAAATGGCTGTGGCTGAAAATAAATTTTAGAAAAATTAAAAGCATTTTGTTTTGTACAATATTGAAAACACTTTTTAAATAAGTATGTTTTGTCTAGTTTTAGGCTATTCAGAGATTTTGCAGTTAAACTTCTGAATTTGATAGTTTTTATTAATTTTAAAATTTTTTTATGATTAATTTATATGAATTTATAATTCTAAACATTTTTATATATACTATTACAAAAATTATAGTTAAGTCAATTGGTCTAAAAATTATTCTAATCAACTTTGTTACTTTGGTAGTATCATTGAAGCTAAAATTAGACTAAATAGGATTTTTCATCATATTTCTAAAAAGAACAGTGATTAATATACACTCTAATTTAATATATTATACAATATATTCATTAAAAAATTATTATTTTTTAATCTAAAATTAAAAATAAATAAATTTGAAGATACAATTATACACATAAAATATAACAATTAATTGAATTAATTGTATTTATATTATATTTCTAATAATTAAACCAAAAATATATAAAAAAATATGTTGAACTGAGGATCTACAAATCATTTTCCTCTTAAAAATTGTCTTGGTAGATGGTTGCCTCTTCCACTAAACTCTCAGAACATATTAAATATAGGTTTGTGGTAAATTTTTTCGATTTAATAATCAGTTCATCTACTTTTTTAGATTGGAGATGATAATCATTTCATATAAATATTTAATTTTATAAACACTTCTAAAAGAACCTAGGAAAAGAAAAGGTACGTCAGCCATATTGTACATATGGAAAATCTTTTGCTTTGAAACTCTAGTGATTGTTTAATGAAATTGAGTACCTTACAGAAACAAATAGGTATTTGTATACTTGCATGTAATTAAGGGAAATTACAAAGCACTTCATGTTTCAAGCTCTGATGATAAAGCCAAAAACCGACCAAACACCCACAGAGTGCTTTTAGCTTTTCTTTAAAAAATAAGTTAATGCTATACACAATGAAAAAAGGGTAAAGTGAATGGTAATTATCGCATCTAATCTATAGAATTAACTTATCTTGAACATATCCCGATAATATATACTAATAGTATTTTATGATAAAGAGTTTATTATTTTGAGAGGTAGACAGCAAAATATAAACTATTAAAGAAGGATAATTAATCTCTAAATACAAAATAACATGTCTCCTATCTAAATATTTAAGTTGTGCAGTTTAAACTGTATAATACTATTTTGTTTATGAAATTTAATTGATAAACAAAAGACAAAAGACATCACTTTCATACATACATATGTACATACATATGTATGTGAATATATCTTGCTGGTATTTTATCCTCTAGTGGTAAGAGTTTGGGGTATATATTTCTAAAGGTTAGCTGGTAAGGAGAAACATGTAAAGAAGGAGTTCAATTTGCATGCATGGTGTGGACTCTGGAAGGATATATATATATGGGAAGACGCTCTCAGAGTGTAAGAAAACAATAAAGAAACGATGAAAGAAAGAGTTCTATTTAAAAAAAAAGAGAGAGAGAGAATAGGAAAAGGTCACACATACATACCCTCTCGCTCTTCAGAATCTGGCTTTAGAAACCTGACCGAGAAGAAGACTCCCTGCAGATTGAAGATATATATGAGCTTAGATTGTTGATTTAATATATAGAGACTCACCAGTAGTATGGTCAGTATGGATAAATATGAAGGGATATAAATCTAAATTAATATGAAAGTGCAGTACTTTTTTATGTTTTTTTAACCAAACGCGTCTTAAAATTCGGCCATAACATGACGAGGGCCCCACCCAAATAAAAACACGAAAAAAAGGTCCGTTGTGCTTTTTTGACATCCACATATATGTTTCACTTTTTGTTATTTATCAATGTTATATTGTATTATAATTATAAATTTTTTTATTTTTTATTATTTTTAAAAAAATATAAATAGTATTAATTAAAGTTAATAAAAATATATTAAATATTAATTAAATATTATAAATTTACATGTTTAAATAAAATATTGTGTAAAAAGAGAAAATTTGGTGTAAAACGCTTATAAACAAATTCTATATACTTGCTACATCGTAGACTGCCAAAATGTTTTCACCAAATTCTTTAAAATGTCTTTTCAGTCTTTTTGTCACTAATTGAGAACCCCACGCCTCTCCCAACTGGTCCAGTACGAAAACAGTTAGTCAACTCTGATTTGATGGCCCATAACTCCTGTCATTACGCCGGGCCCGGCCCAAATTTTCATTTATTTAACAAATTTTCTGATTAAAAACTTATTGGGTTAAAAAAAAAAAAAGAAGAATGTTTCCTTTAATTAAATTATAACATTCTACCTCCCAACATTCTAGCTGAATATTATAGTAGCCACCTATGGATTGCAAATGAATTTCGAAAATGAAATCATAAGATCTTTGGCGTAAAATTGTTTAAAAAAAAAAAGAAAAAGGAAAAAAACCCATGGGTAGGTAAGAGTTCAATATTCTGAGAAAATAAATTATTTAATGGAGGGAAGGGACGTATGGGCATGAAAAATTTTTGTGATGGAAAATGAAAAAGTCGTGATAAAAGAATTGTAGATTTTAATTTTGTAATGTGGAGAGAAGCCTAATATTCTCAAAACACGAGTCAAAATAATCAATATTTTTCTTAATTGTTCTGCGGAAGTGGAATCATCTGAACTGAAGGGAAGGAAAAGCACAAATCATATCTGTCTTGTTCGACTCTGAAGCAGTTGAATTCAGGCAAACATCATTTCCAACTTTGAAGTTTGAAGTAATAACATTGCACCGACCTTTTCTATTTTCTTCTTTTTCGTCCTTTTTTTCTTCCTTTTACACATTTTTCATTAAAATATTGAGTAGCTCCATAAAAACAAAAAGCAAAAAAACAAAACAAAGGCCCAAAGATTTTTCTTGCTTTCTTTATACGCTCTTTTTAATGAAAATAATATCTATAAATGATGACTCTTTAGGGTTTTAATTTTTTTAATTTATATGATGATAAATTACATAAAAAATAGTTATTTAAAAAAATAAATAAATTTTCACCTAATTTAAGATTTGAACATAAAATTTTTATCTTAAAATTTTGAGCTCTTAATTAATTGAGTAAACTTTAATTTAAAAACACCATCTCTAAGATATTTTAAAAAATTAATCATTAAATTTAATATTTTTTTATGTAAATTATATATATATCAATTTTTAAATTAATTAAATATATCTAAGTAATTTATTAATTATAAAAAGATTTAACATAATTAAATAAATATATGTTACAAAATACAATTACTTAATCTAACTATAATATGTCAAATTAACTTAAAAACTAACGTCAACGACTTTGTTAATTTAAATGGAAGGAATTTGGTTTCCTTTAAATAAGATATCGAGAATATGGTTATCGAATACTTGGAAGTTAATATCAAAAAAAAAAAAACTTAAAAACTAACATGTATGATCTACATAAATATATATGCCATTTAATCCAATGATTAATTTTTTAAAATATTTATTAAAAATAATATTTTTTTAAAAAATTATTATATATTTTAAATTATATTATATAATATAATATTTATCATTAAATAAAAAATAAAATTCATAACATTAAGAGTTGCCCTGCTTCACGTCAACAATTCTTATTTTATATTCTAACGCAATCCAAAAACTAAAAATAAGACACTTGTTTCTAAATCGAAACTCCACAAAATCAAAATTAATATATTATTTCCTTTACCCTAAAGGAGGAGGAGGTGACTTAACGGTACTTTAAGTCCACCGATAAGAGATTTAAGAAAAAATATATATTATTTTTTAATATAATTTATTATTATTAAATAAAAAATACATTATTTCCTTTTATTAATTGATTAATATATTAAAAATCTGAGCGGATGCATGCTACCCCAGCATGCACGTCATATATATGCGTGTCAAAAAAGGAAACCACTCCGCTCAAATAGTTGACTTCTCTGCAGTCTACAGAATTATTGCAGTGGGTGTGGGCCGCGTTGGGACTTTAAGCTTTTCAAAGTTTTCGGCAACCAACCTGGTCCTTTCTCATTGCATTTTCAACTCCGACTTGTTACTTCATCCACAAGTGTTCTCACCACTTAGACTTGAGCTTCATTGCTTTTATGAAAGTCGTTCATCGTTGGAGTTAGATTCAACCACAATTTTATCTACCAATAAACCCTAACGAATCAAATTTAGAATAACAAATTAATATATTGTAAGTGAATTGAGACAACTGTTATTATAATTGTGAGACAATAAAATAGTAAGTGAATGATTTTTCATTAGTATTAGTAATTTTTTTAATTTTTTTAATATATTATATGATAAATTATATAACAAGAGAATAACTATTTTCATCCCTCCCATGTTTTGAATTTGAAATTTTTAATATAAAAATTTAAATTCTTAACTACTAAATTATCTTCTAGATGATAACTATAGTTTTACTTTGTCTTTACAATTTAATGTTACTGAAAAGACAAAACATGGTATGGTATAACCAAAACAGTGAACTATATTATCATTGAGAGAGACCTGCAATACAAAACAGTGTTTGACTCGATGAATCTCACCATGGCTTCTAGTAGCTAGACTTGAAATTTTATTTTTTTAGCCGTCAACTGGACTCGAATTAAGCAAAACATTTTTGTGAAACTAATAAGGTAGTAGAAACACCTAGGACTTGTTAGTTTAATAAAAATAATTTAATTTTTTTAAAATAAAATTTTAAATTTAAATCTTATAAATAAAAAAATAAATATTTAAAAAACTTCCTCTTATCTTCTAACTTAATTCAACTCTGAATTAGTCGTGGCTTCCAAATATAAGAAGATTAATTCAAAAAATAGAAAAAGTAATAGAGACCATCAACAAGGACACTGATTATGGGGACCAAACGTGGGAAAGAAACAAAGATTTTTGGAAATATGAGCCAAATCACTATAGAACAAAAGCCTATCCACTACATAGAAGATGTTTTTCCACCATCTCGAGCCCATTAAAGACTACCCTAAGTCAGTCAGTGCCGTCCGTGCTTAGCATGCCAATGAATCATGATCATAATGGGTCTTCCAAAGATTTCAAGAAAAAGATACCTTGGTATTTGGCTATATAACTTCAAACAATTATGCGTAAGCATGTCTTCAGCAATACAACAGTATCCAATTCAAATTTCACTATTGACCATCAAACTTAGCTTGCTTTACTTTCAGGTGCTAAAAATTATTTCTTATGTTCCATCAAACTTACATGGAACAGTCATCATGCACCATTAAAAGATCAAAATCTGGTACAGACTTTTGTAAATATTAGGCTTAATTAGTTCATTGCAACACAAGGGAATTGGAAGAACTTTGATTTACATAGACTCATGAAGGTGATAAAGAATTTTGGTTGCCCATGCTGAGGGGACAATTAAAGAACTGAGAGAGAATATTAAATGGGCGATACATCAGACACTGCTTATGCGTCTGGAGTTCCCTGACCTTTCTTTTGGTGAACTGCTTCCAGGCATTCTTTAGCTCTATGAACCTTTGATTGGAGATAAAAGCTCCCATTCTTAGCATTTTGCCCAAACAAGTTGTCATATTTCTGCATAGATCATTAGAATACTTCATAAGGAACACAATATAAAACCAGTTGCATATTTAATCACAAAGTATTAGAATAAGTGACACCATCTAGCACACCTTCAGGATCTCTTCCCAAGATGACTGCTCTGTGACCCCTAGAATCTGCCTTGCCTCAGCATCAGTCATAACTTTGCTTGCTCTCCTGATATTTTGCACAGTTTCTTGGGCTACCCCAGATTTTGCAGCATCTGCAATCAACCACAAAGTTTTAGATATTGATTGCAATAACATCCAGGCTGCTGACAATAAATTACATTCCTAAACACTTTCAAATTTCAACTGCTAAGTGTGGAACAGTACAACATACTTGCTAGCGCCTGGCGATATGCTTGAACTACAGCTCTTGCCATTACTCCAGAACCCATAACAATCAGATTAGCAAGAATCCTTGCAGCCTGCAAAACACTATTACAAGTTAACTGTCTGATACTTACCTTCTTGTTTCCATTTTATCATGGATAAACAAAAAGGCAAAGTGCATGCTCCCCATGCATGAGCTGCTAAAGCTAAGATGACTTTTGACCAACCAAGCAGCTAATCATGAATACAACCAAGCATCAAAAACATTTGGCTTATGGCTTCTCTACAAATGACTACAGTTAAAGGCTCCAAAAAATGCTACTAGAATCAGAAAGTAACAGTTGGTTAGTTCTATTCGTCATTCTGGTGCAAGTGGATTAGCAATCACACTTATCATTTGACAGGATACATAAGCCTGCCCTGTGGCTCATTCAACAATCAAGTACCTGCCAACTTAATTTTTCATAAAACAAAACATTTAAGATACAAAGATCTCTATGCAAAAGATTAGTGTCTGAATAGAATTAAAGATCACTTTTAATAACCATTTCCAGGTGCCAACTTCAAAATGAGAAACTACAACATCTCTAAAAGGGAAACACAGTTAAGGGCATTAGCAAATCAGTAATGCTATAGTTACAATGCCATGTAAGATTATAAACTTACAATCTTATGTGGCATTAAATGGGTGGATGCACACAATATCACAGGTGGACCCTTGAATGAAATGAGTTAATTATATAACGACACATCATGTTGTAAACTTACAATGCCACGTGGCATTGTAACTATAGCATTTTCGTTAGCAAATTGCCTAGAAACCCATCCCAATTAAGGTTGCTGGACCAACTGGAGAACAGATTGCTTTCTTAGGCTACATTTGATGTTACTTCTTTGCAATTCAACCAAGCTTCACGCTACCAATATTCAATATTAATCTACCATACAATCTAACCATTCCTAGTATCATACCCATCAGGTTTGGGGAGAAAAACAATGGTTTAAATTCAATAGAGCTTCTAGAGCCCAGCAGCCACAACTCAAAGCATTACCCACCGGTTACAACAATCATAATTGCTTATTAGAGGGCCTGATTGCCATAAAGACTAAGTAAACAAAAGAGAAAATGGCACATAACCTCAACAAAAATACAATAAACAAAGACTCAATAAGGTTCACACTTGACCATTAACAAGACCAAACCCACAAAAGAGAAGAAAGAGGCATACGTACCATTGCCGAAGATTTAAGGAAAAGACGCCCACCAACCAGAAAGGTTCGCGATTCAGAAACCTAAAGTATAAACCCAATATGTTAGTTCAGGTGTTGTTGATCAGCTCAACAACATAATCAAACAACCCTAAATTCACAAAATTTTCTCGTCGAAAATTTTTTTAAGTTCGAGTTCTACGTATCAAATTCTAATTCTTCTCGACGAAACCCCATAGCAAAACACGTCGACGAAAACGGAGATGCATATGAAATAAATAGAATTTAGCAGTACTGGCCCTATCGTAAACAGCAATTACTTACCGGAGCAAAATTTCAGGGTAGCGTTAGAGATGAACGTCAACAGGGTTGATGGTGATTAGGGTTTAACAATGCGATGATTAGGGTTTAACAATGCGACAATGAAGAATTGGGGATAGATGCTATGGATTGAACGATTTGCCTGTTATGACGGCTTCCGAAACGGACGTGAGTGTAATTATGGGTTGGGTTGGGCCTCCATCTTTTCATTAACGTGCCACAAGATTTTTTTTTTTTTTTTTTTTGTAAGAATGGGCCACAAGATTAACTTTCAAGTACATCTTAATTACAAGAATTTGTTTTCTTATAATCTGAATTATAGCCAACGAGTTGTTGATTTTTTTTCTTTTTTGTACAACCAATTTAAGTGAAAAGAACTTTAAATTATAATTAATAAACTGTTGATTTAAGTGAAAATAATTTAATTTTTATTAAATAAAATATTAAATTTAAATCTTTTAAATAAAAAAGTAAGCATTAAAAAAACTTTTTATTAATGGATTCAATTTGATTTCACGGTCAAATTAGTTCAAACTCAATATAACTTTTAGATATTCAAGATTTGGTATCCAAAAACACATAATTTGAACTGTAAAATAAAAACATAATACTGACTTCAGCAGTCGACTGAGGCGCTGAGATCTGCAACCTCCGGCCATTCTCCTTTTCTGACGGAAGATTAATCAGTGCCATAAAATTGAACCTAAGCTCCTCTCTCTCCGCAAATGGCGATGATGAGTTAATTTTCTCAAAATTTTTGAATTTCCCCTAGTTGCGTCCGTAAAACTGACTTCTTTATATGCGGGGTTGCAGT